CTGCAGATCTATAGTACTGAATACAGTGTAATTTGAGATTTTCGTGACAACTTCTTCTATATTTGGTAGTGGATATGCATCTAGTTGCGTGTAGCGATTTATAGTTTGCAAATAGTCAATAACCATCCTTTTCTTATGGTTCGTGTTATTAGTGATCAACACTTGTGCTCTCCAGGGAGACTGGCTTTCTTCAATTATACCTTCTCGTAACAGTTTCTTTACTTCAGCAGCTATGAATAGTTCATCCTCATGTGAGTGTTTGCGGGATCTTATTGCAATTGGTTTGCATTCTGTAGATAAGTTAGTAAATAATGGTACAGCGGGCACGGTTGCTTCGGCTACAGAGCAAATGTTGAGTGTTTGTTTTGGTCCTCCAAATGCAAGTTCCAAACTCGAGTGCATTTGCAATACATCATGACCAATGATCATGTCTGCACATAGGTCTTTTACAATGAGAAGTTCTAGATTTCTGTATGAGCATTCTCCAATGCGAATAGTTTGCCGTGTGAGATGTTTCACTTGTGACTTGAGAGATGAGGAAGCCATTGATACAGTTTGTTTACAATGTTGTTTTCTTAGATTAAGCAGATTCGCGAATCCTTCAATAATGAAACTGATGCTGCTTCCTGTATCGATAAGAGCGTCAGCGCGAACTCCTTTTACGAATGCTGTAACCATAGCTTTTTGAAGCGAAGAAGGTGCAGCAGCGGTGATATAAGCAGTGTAGTTTTCATATTTTTCTTGAAAACAGGCAGCACTGTTTTTACTGCGACAAACAGTTGAAAAATGGCCTTTCTTTCCACAGGTATGGCACTCAACATCCACTGCTGGACAGTTTTTCCGAGCGTGGACAGAGCCACCACAAAAAAAGCATTTACGTTTTGAATAATTTTTGGTTTCCGTAGATTTTGGTATTACAGCTACTGTTTCCACAGTAGAAGACGGATTAGGTGAAATTGCATTGACGATAGAAGATTGAGTTTTAAATATTGCAGAATTTCTTTCAGCTGTTTCCATTGACAGAGCTAGAGTGTAAGCTTGATCTAAGGATAATGTCAGATTCTCCAAAGTCTCTGACGGATCTCTGATGAAATAATTCCTGCGATAAATGCTCCTCGTATATTCTCGTTTTTATTTGTCTCAGCATCCACTGCAGTGAATTGGCATTCCTTAGACAATTGTTTAAGTGCCTGGAGGTAAGTGTCAATAGATTCTCCAAACTGTTGACGCCTCGTGGCAAGCACATGCCTGGCGTAAATTACATTTCGAGGTTTGATGTATAGAGCATCGAGAATAATAAGCGCATCAGTGTAAGTTTCACAGTCACATACGTACGCAAATACTCGTGGCGAGATGTAGTTTACCAGCAGCTGTAGCTTGACGGCTTCAGAAAGCAATTGAATATTACTTGTTGCATCAGGGCTCATTGTAGTAGAGGCAGATGAGGCTTGTCGAGCTTTGAGAAAATTCTCAAAAGTTTTCTTCCAATGTTCCCATTCCAAGGTGGTGGAACTTAACGTCGGATCTCCGTCAAAGCGTTCGGGACTTAAGAATCTATCCATTTTTTAAATGGAATAAATTGTTATAATACTAATTTTAACCTTTTATAAAGCTAGGCTTTATTCCATTTAAAATTATACATTATAGTAAATGAGTGACAAATTGACATACAAAAATAACAAACGATACAACGTCTAGATCCATTAAAGAACAAATCATATCACCCGGTACTATACCAATTGACTTTTTCTTCAGTTGAATACAACGCACACGAAGGAAAATAAAAATACGGAAGCCAAAGCAACAATATTCAAATTAATTAATATGGCCGCCAGATATTTATTTGTTTTAAGAAGTTATTTTTGTTGCCTAAAATTGTTAGGCCCCCTGCAGAAGATATTTTATCTTTTAAAAGTAGAAATAGAGAAAAACAATACATAAATCCCTATATAAATATCACTGTACTTACGTACTTACTTTAATTCAAACTAACTTGTGTATATGACTCATCTCAAAAAAACTTAGGTATGTGATATTAGTTAATTCGGACACATACACAATATACTTTGAATTGAACCATATATATAGTACCTACTTACGACATAGCTTTATGGATAATAGTGATCGACCCATTCCATTGGACATGTCCATGATTGTCTGGAATAATAACATCATTAATAATAATAGATCTGGGTTTCAAGTAAAAAAATTATTTGGAGAACTGTTGACATTTAGCCTCGGCCTCGGCACATTATTGGCAAACTTGTTACCCCACAAAGCTATGCTGAATATAATCATTGAATTATTCAATGATATAATACAATTATACACATCGTACAAAATTATTATGAAATATATTCCGTTAAAGCTTAAAATGTTATCCGTTCACATACTACTAACGAATATACAATTTCCGGGACATGGATTCAAACTCACGATGGCTTTACTGTACAAGGTACCATATGATCCGCGTGTCGAAAATAATTTTCGTAATTCTATTTTTTTAGGGCCTAGGTATCATAATGATATATTTAATTATCTTAATGCAGTTTAAATCCTAATCTAACTAAGTAGTTTTTCTATGTATATAATGTATATAAATATATTTCTGTAACTATATACTTATCTAATTGTATGTATTTTTTTCTATTTTTATTTATTATAAATAAGTGTAAAAGTGTTGGCCTCTGGGGATGATATATGCGATAGTTCGGACATGTTTAATTCCGAGTATTATGTTCTTTTCGTTAGAAAAAAAATTTACTTAAAGGTAAAGAGCATTCTGATTTTTCACCAGAGGCGATAACATTGAAATAAAGATATTACACCGAGGATCTGGTTGATTTCAGCGAAGAGAACAGTCGGTGTAATCTGTTCCGGAATTCCGAATCATGCAATCCAACCCTTGGTACGGACTCGGTGGAAATGTCATTTATGGGAATAGCTTCTGGGCAATCCGTGAAGCGGTCGATGCGTGTAAGTGCGTACCTACGTGTATCCTAGAGGAAGGGGACAGATAAATTCATGCTTGTACGTGATTGGAACGTAAAGATTCCAACTGGAATTGACCTGGAGGTGATACGGTGTGGCGATGAATCTTGGAGCTTTGACAATCGAGACACTGTGCGCCACCAAAGCTTGATGTGGGATTTCATTTTGGACCATACAAATCGTTGACAGATTAAACTTGTTTTTCTAGCAATGGGGTGTGACATCTCAATGAATCTTGTTGAAAATCAACGTTCGGAATTGGGCTAGAACCTCTTTGGTGGCACAGAGAAGTGATGGTTAACCGAGAAAAAGTAGCCCACTAATAATTAATATAGAGGATGATTCAAATGAAGATGATATTTTTGTAATTGATGATTCAGGTTAAGTTTTTCGGTTTATTCAGATATCAACCCCAAGATTTGAAGTCAACAAAATGGCTGATGAACGGCGCCTGCGGTGTTTCAAAATTCATGGAGAGGTCCGAAAGGAACTCGTCTCCGGTAAAAAGGCTAGGAGGTTCGATTTTTACTAAGGTTTTTGTCCCGAAGAAGGTTTTCCTGCCATCGCCTGGTTGTGTGTGTAATAATTTTATATGTTCTCGTTTTTTATTACGCACAAAATGTTGAGTTTTTATTCAATTTCCTTTCCCCTTTGTGTATAAAAAGAACCGTCAGATTTAATACCCACTGATTCGAAAGTGCCGCGATTCGCAAAACCGTATACTATGCGATCAAAAATGAGTGTTGTCCAGTCACCTTTGGAATTTTTGTTTACATGGGAATCGTACTTAGACCATATAGTACATGAGCTGCTATTAGCCCTATGCTTTCAATACAAAATGGATGGTCACGGATAGAGGGCACTGTAGTCGTGGGTATGTGAATCTCAGGGTAAACTAAAGTCGTATGAACACCACTCGGATTGCGTAAAGAGTAGCTTTTATAGTAACCGCGTAGTACGGGAAGCTTTAAATACTCTTCATTATTTCTATACGTCCACAATTCACAAATAAGAATAGGTTTGCTTTTTTTTGCCATATCTGGGCAATTAATTAATTGACGTTTGTTAATTTATAGGTTGACAGTCTCACATCGTGTCTCATCGGACAATTTCGGACAGACTCGTTTACCCTGAAACGCACATACCCAATCGATGTCCTTGACTGTATTATTTTTAGTTACAATTAGCAGTCCATGTACTATATGGTCTAAGGAATCGTACCTTTACTTGAACTTCCAAAGGCGGCACGACAGCAACTCATTTTTGATCGCCCGTTATAAGGTGTGTATACAATGATGAAAGTAACGGGTGGCCCTGGGCATCGATTCCCGAAGTTAGTCGATATGCTCCGTGATGTGCATGTGATGTGACCGGCTGCCATGACGTCATGATCGTATACGATAGGGATAAGTTCAAGTTTAGCTGCATTCCCGAATCGTGGACAAACTTTATGCGTTAACCAATCACAGACAAGAATTGAACTGTCATTTGTCAGTTTTGTATTTTGTTTTGTTTTTGCATTATGATACTGCTATTAATAACCAGAAAATCCTCGAACAATTCCATGTTTTATTTCACAGAAAATATGTGAATTTATAGGTTAGGGCACTGAATAACCTCTATAGCAAGACAGCTGCAAGATCCGTCCTGTAGCTGCAACTGCGCATGACTTTCACGCAACGAGTGGTCTAGACCAGTCGTTGCGTTCGATCAACTTTTCGCTCGATGTGGTAGGTTCGAGAATGCAGTGACATTCACGTTCACATCAAGGTCAGTCGATGTGAACAAAGCACATCTTCGGGAATCGACGCCCTGCTCGTGAGTATGTATAGGGTTTTCGCTATAAAAAGCTTTGCACGTCATAAACAGAAGAAAATGGCATGCCAATTGAAATCAAGATTTGGCGGATTTATATTCATTATTATTTAGTTACTTTTTGGGAGAATAAGTTGGCAGATTCGGAATTTTTTTTACAATGTTGTCAAACGTTATTTGTTGACATTTGACACTTTGGTTCGGTTTTTGCCTGTGAAAGTTTTCGGTTATTCTTGTGGTTGTTGTTATTATTCATCTTCGCTCTTAGTGCAAAAAAATGTGTTCTTTTCAGAACAAAATTGCTGTTTGTTTGTGTACATTCTACCGTTATTTACATTTGTACTCGCCACAATGCCGAAATATTTGAACAGTAAAGCGAAGGAACTCCTTGCGTCTTTAATTCAATATTTTGAACAGGAACGAGATAATGGGGGTTTCTTATTACCATTAGGTTCAGTTCGAGAGGTAAGAATGGTTTCAATTACTTCTGACTACTTCTACTAATTGTGATTACCTTCAGCGCATTGTGGCAGCATTACATTTAAACATTTCTACGGTCAGCAGAATATCCCAAGCTTTTAAACAAAACGAAGCTTTGATATCGCAGATCTTGGTATTTGCATCTAAAAGTACTGGCGATTACCACGGAGAAATGAATCGTGAAAACTTTTTACATTGGTTTGAAAAACAATTATTAGTAAATTTAGAAGAACCAAGTGTTATCGTATTGGACAATGCTTCTTACCACAACACCTTATTGACACAAAATCCGAACAACTCGTGGAGAAAAGCAGATTTTCAAGATTGTTTACACAATAAACTTGCACTTGCGATTGTAACCTCAGAAATGTGGAAAAATTCAATTAATCACACCGAAATAGTACATTGAAATACAAGTGCAGAAACGGTATTATTGAAAAACGAGTATAAATGTAGGAACACGAGCGCCAGCGAGTGTTCCTATTATACGAGTTTTTCAATGACCGTTTCGTCATGCGTGTTTCATACTATTTTTTCTACGAAAGTGAAAAATTCTTCTCTAGAAATTAGAAATTTCAACTAGTCAAATAACGACAAAAAATCGTATAGTCTGATCGTAGTTGGATGTTTCAATTGTAAATGATCCAGTAAGCCGGTTGCCATGACAAAACATAATTGTTTGAAAAATCGTAAATTTAAGTCAAATAATTTGTGGCGTAGTGAAGAAGTGTTAAGATAGATTTTGACGAAACTGAAGATGAAGAAGGTATGTGCACCCCGCCGGACGTTGCGGAAATGGCTAATGCGGCTTCGCATGAATTGCTACCCCAAAAGTGTAAGCAGCGTTTCGGAAAGGAGCGTTTTCATAAGAGAATAAATCGCTAAGTTTTTGAGAGAAGCGCCTAATGAAACATTTGTAATGATGAAGGTTTGTCAATTTCTTATTGTATTTTTAAATCATAAATAAGCATAATTTAATTACAGGTTGCTCTCGTCCTTGGAGTGGCTGGAGCTTGCCGTCGGAGCGAACGTTGTAAAATGACTGTAACGTATTTCACAGAACAAGATACAATTTTATTGATACCTAACGATTCCTGACTCCAAGAATCATGTCCCAAGAACGTTTTCTGTAGCAGAAGGCAAAGAAAATTCTACCATTGTGTGTCTTATATAACGAACCTGTGAATAAAGCAATACAATTACAAAGAGTTACTTCGCATATGTTTATTAGCGTGTAGAAAATGCGTGCAGAAAATATTTTTTTCTATTTCGGTGTCACAATGATGATTTTGTACAACTGTTTTCGGCCGAAAACAGTTGTACAAAGACAGTGATTATAGTCGTTTTTTTTGGTAACTCATCTCTTAAGTTGGCAGTTACTAGTTAGTACAAGTAGGTCAGAGACATGGAGAGGGGAGATAACGCATGAAACTGCGCGAAGTTACAAAACAAGGGGGCTGCCATTTTGACACCCATTGAAGCGCGAAATTTGAACAGGACTATAAAGGTTTACTGACGCAACCCAGAGACATCTAACGCAATCTTCATACACTACACTCTATTCGGCAGCAGCTCCGTAGGAAGAAACTAATATCTCAATCCAATTGAACAAAAGAAAATGCCAGTGACGTTGACGTTACAAAATAAACACTTAAACCTCGAAAAAAGCTCTCCTAAACACGAACACACGCTAAAATAACACCACTATAAACACAACATGACACAACGGGTATAAAAATGGCAGCGCCCATGAGGTCGCACCCTTTCTTGGATGCGCACTCGTCGATCAGCGATCTCCTCTCTCCATGTCTCTGGTACGTCCATGTTTGAACTTCAAAATGTCAGTCTTACTACGCTGCCAACCTAAAACTTAATGGCATAAAAAGTGTTCCCAACATAAAACATGTTAGTTCTAATGTTCCCTATAGTTTCTGATAATGATTTTTTTAATTAAATTAAAGCACCGAAATAGAAAAAATAGTATGAAAACGCGTGTTACAATGCTTTATTGTAATACTCCTATTTTGCGAACACTCGTGGCTACGCTTCGCGTCGCCACTCGTGCCACAAGATAGTCGTATTACAATAGGTCGCATTGTAACACTTGTCTTTCAATATACTATTGCCGCACTAGTGTTTCAAAGACCTGTTTTCACAATCAATTTACCTACAAAAACAATCGTGTTTCTACACTTTCGTAGAAAAAATTTATAAAGGAATAGTATGAACGCGAAAAACAATTGGATATTGCAGAAATGGTCCCAATTATTATAAACTGGGTGAAAATGATAGTTGAGTGATGACAATTAACTGGACAATAAATAAAACTGCAATTACCTAAGTCACGAGAACTGAAACTTGAAACTTTGACATATGCCTGGCGTCGCCGCCTCTCCCAGGATTTAGTCAACTGTCGTGAGGATGCGTCCCTGGTAGACACCAGCAGGGACGTTTCTCCACTACTTTGTTGCCATCGCGCTGGGCCGCGACATATGCCAAACAATGTGGTGGATTTTGTGGATTGGGAGGGTTGTGGGGGGGCGGCTAACTGGGTGTTATCCGACCCGAACGGGTACGGCCACAGCTTCGCCACTGGTATTCTGCCTTAGAGGGAACTCTGCTTTCTAGTGATAGCTTCTTCTCCGAGCGTTCATTGGCTTCCGATGTTCCTATCCTTTGGTCTCGTTCCCTTCCCTGTTTTCCCTCGTGTTAGGCTCTTTTTATTGTTGTCCTCTCCCCGCATTACTTTCTGTCCCCATTTCCTCCTCCCCTTGGCTACTTGTCCTTGTGGCTGATTCTTCCTCCACCTCCAGTATTCTACTGCTTTCTTTCTTCCTTTGATGTTTGTCTCTGCTATTCTCTTCCCATGGTAATCCCCGAGACCTCTTGTTATGTAGTCTGAAAAGTATCTTTCACCTTTTTACGATCATATCAGTTTATGTTGATTATCATTTTATGTAGTTCAATAAAATTTCTTGTGTTTTTGTCTCGGTTGAACTTACTACACCTTTTCCACTTTTATTCGAGAAGTTGTAAATTGTATTTGAGAATTGTTACTTGTATTTGAGAAAACGTCAAAATAGATGAGAATAGTCAGTTGGATTTGAGAAAACATCAAATGTATTTGAGAATAGTCAATTGTATTTGAGAAAGTATCATTTAATTTTATTGTGTTTCAGAATGTAATATTATTCCTAATGAATTATAATTAAGAATCAAATTTTTATAATTCCGCTACTGTATGTAGTCCCGCAACAGCAGCAGCAGCAGCATCAGGCTATGTTATACATGTGATTTTGTTATTGATTCTCAAATGCTTAATTTTACCATTTCTTGAATACAATTTACTAGTCTCAAATTCATTTGATGCCTTCTCAAATACAAATCACTATTCTGAACTACATTTGTTGTTTTCTCAAATACATTTTACTATTCTCAAATACAATTGATACTTTCTCAAATTAACTTGATAGTTTCTCGAATAAAAGTGGAAAAGGTGTAGTCTCAAATTTCACTACAGCAAGAGTTGGTCAAATAACGTAAAATCAGTCAAGATTTCAAGCAAGCATTAACTTGATATTTATTTGCTGATGGCCTATGCAATGGTTTATAACTTCCGAAACATTTACATAATGTCGCAATGCCCACATTCCTCATCTTTCTGCTCACAACGGCAGCGATACGTTATAAACAAAATGCTAATAGTACTACACTTAGTGGACTGCACTTTCCTTGAACCCGTCACAGCACAGTAGGAATGGGTTTTATTGATGCACAGTCGGTTGGTTTCACACAGAGAGCCCAAAAAATGATCTCTGAATTTTCTAGTTCCTCTGGAATCTGGATGGCTCAGAGTAAGAAATAAAGATAGAGTACGCGTACGCTATAACAACGTGAACGTTTGTTTTGAACCAACATCTCAGTCAATTTGACCCTTGGAGGTAGAAAGTAAACATTAGTCAGTGGCGTAAGGTTTATTTATTTTTATGGGCAACAAAGTTTATGTTTTGTTTACATGTGCAAACGTAATAACGTATCACTAAATATTTATGACCAAACGCTGTATGTGTTTGAAAGGTCCCTATTGATCTATGATAAGGTATGGTGATACTTCAAAGTGGAAACTTAGAAGGAAATCTAAACACATTAAAATGCGAAAATTCCCGTATGCACGTCTATGACTTCAAAACACATACGGATGAAAGGTTATGTTAGGTAATTCAATAATTCCACAAATAATACAGCTTTTCCCCATTTCAAAGGGCTCCCATAAATTAATACACCACAATCGAATAAGTCCTCCACTATAAAAACGCCTAAAAATTAAGGAATCACGTTTTAACGAAATAAACAAAATACCTCTCAACGGAAAACAAAGTTACAGCGTTGCCGTTGTGGTGCACTAGTCACCATAACTTTTCTTGTTAGTTTGGGTTACTGAACTCTTATAAGCATCTAAAAATCCATTTAGATTACTCGAGATGCATGCATATATTATTAATATTCCCTTAAAAACTATCTCGTGAAATGTGACAACTTAGCCTCCTGCAATGTTAGTAAACAAACGAGATGATGGCACGCATAGATAAGCATCAAGGCATCTCTATCTTTATTTCTTACTCTGAGCTGTGTAGTGTATTTAACCCCCAGGTTCTACGCTAACTTCACACTACAAGAACACGGAAATAAAATAAACCCGGCAACGTTTTAAAAAATGGCCACCCGAATGACTATTCCCTCTAAAACTAAACAAGTACCCGCTTAAATTTGAAAAGTGGCACGTGATAAAACATCTAAGGCAGGGCCTCCTTACGTTACTTGTAGACAACGCTTTGACCTGAAGCACAGTAGGGAAGGAATTTTAAATGAAACACTGAAATTGTGAGAAGTTTGTTTAATAATGATCGTAATTATTATGATTGTGAAAACCCGGAAATTTAGTTGATGTACATTAATATAAACAAAACAAACAAAGCCAAAAGGTGTCGTACTCTCGCAAAAGTCACTGCCAAGGATAAAAAGAGTACGACGTAAGAAAAACCTTGCAGTTTGATTAAAACAGTCCAAAAGTTAATTAACAAAATATTTTGTAAAAGTTTTAAGCAGTAGTTAACAAAGATAGTAAATGCATATACACAATGTTGGTTACACTCAAGGTTAAAGCAAGTTTTTGGGGACAATGGGTCAGGTAGAAGCAGGTACCAAGATTCTGAGAAGGGGTGAAATACACAGGATGTGACTCATCTTTGGTGCAATAAAGTCCTTTTGTTGAAAGCAAGATGGAAAATTACATGGCCTTGTAGGCAAATTTGACTAAAAAACAAGATATGTGGAAATTATTGAATCGCCACTCATTTAACGCACATAGATTCTAAACTGAAGAGCTTTGATTAGCGTAATCTCGCTCCTGCAAGATGGGTAGTCCGCCCCTGGTTTCGGGGTTTCGAACCTACAGTTGGATGTCGAAGACAGTGCACGGAATTAGGTGCCCTAACACATAAATATAGACTACAGTTTCTTTTTCCACCTTCCCGAGACTGCTTCATTCACGGAGAAAATTGTTAGTAACATACAACAAGTCAGTACATACATTAAACAAATCAGCAATTTCCACATATTAAAATAAAATGAAAACTTACATGAATGTAACTTCAAGGACAAGACCAAGTAATCAACATCAATAAACATAAATTAAGCAAACATTACACCAAAAATGTAAACAATTAAAAACAATAGCATAACGGTATCACACATATGATTGCATTGCGGTTAAACAAAGTAAATTTCAAAAACAGAGATTCAAACACACAACAAATATAAAATGCGGCATACAAAACACAAATACGATATAAAGAAATGCAAAAATTACTACCTGCATTAAATAACACAAAATAACAACAAACATTTATGGAGCGAAACGTTCACTACCTCCATTCAAGACCAGATGCCAAACGTAACTCCCGTTCGTACTTTCTAGGTGGCGCAGGCAACTTTTTTTCCCACCTAGAAATTGCATGGTTGCCAACTCTCAACAATGTATGTATCGTGGTAAGCTGTATATACAGGGTGGAACCTTTCAGCTGGATGGTAGAAACATAACCTAAAAGTGTTTCCTTAATTAAAGATTAATATATCAGCATACCTTAGAAATATTTGGCAATGCCGTGTATTGTTGATGTCATCAAATCAATGACGTGCAACGCTTTTTATAGCGAAAACCCTATATAATAATCATATTTATTAAAAAAAAATATGACAAGCAGATCCTCATTTGTTGTACGTAGTTATACACTTTGGCTGCATAAAATTAGGCGTCTTTCAGGACTTTTTATCATGTAAAAGTAGACATAGGAAATTCCTATGTCTACTTCTACATGAATATCACTGTGTACAATGGTAATACATCCTACAGTACTTTAGCCAAAGACGAAAAAAACATTTCCTCTTTGACTTTAGCTATCTATAATACACCGATGCGCGAAAGCTAACGAAAATCCTGCTATAATTACAATTTTTATAATTAAATCACTGCGCAGTCGGGTTTGATTTTTAAGAGTTCAAATATTGTTAAATAATGTTCCAATTGCTTCCAAAGCATCTAACCAAATTTTACTCGCCTATATATAGTTTTATGTTTTGACAAAAAGAAGTACTTTCATAATATCGATTTTCAAATGAAAGGCAAATTTTATGCAAATGGGTACTTTTTAAGAAAAATGCTATTTAAGTTCCTAGACTATGTGTAATGTTCATGTGATGCGTTTGATTATTTTTAGGGTCTCATAGTAGCTGCACGTCGGTCTAACTATAAATGAATAAACAAAAATAATATACATTTTTATTTCAATAATTTAATTATGTTCGTTTGCTTTAGCATAGTAGGTATAGCGATGACTGCATATTTTGTAAAGGCAAAAGTCTGAAGTTGTGCAATAACAGTACAAAATAAAATAACAGTAGCGTACAGCAAATACATGTACTAAAAAGGAAAAAATGAAACACTTACATAAATAGACCTAAACAATTTAAAAAAAAAACTAGTAACAAAATAGAAAACAGGGACCATGGATTATATATATAAATTAGCCATAAGCATATCATTAATCAGATTCATTTATTTCGTCGAAGTCCCACACCTGAAAAGCATTGAATTACTAACTCTTTTTAAATGGAAAGCTTACCTCCAAGTTGCCAATTTCGTTATGGATGTCTGAAAGGCCGGTTAGTTCTTCTAAGTACTTACAGCTATTAAACACCTTTAGTAGAAAATCAAATCCGCTTGCTTCATATTCGGCAATAACAATGTCAGAGCAAGCCACACATTGTTTATATTTTTCTGTAGCTGGCATTACATGGTTAAACATTGACAAAAATCCACGTATAGAATGAGGAACAGCACCCAGTATAGATTCTTCAGGTCCACAATCATCCCCTAAATCCTGATTGTTAGCTTTATAAAATGCAGGAGCACTTGCTCTGAAATTTAAGAAAAAGTTAGTAACACTATGCCACCAGTACAGTTTCAAAGCCTCAGCCTATTTCAGTAAAGAACGCTTTTGTTTCACCAGCACCAAATTATCTACAATGGCAATGAGAACTAAACTTACCCACGAGGATGTTGCAAAATTGACACCGCCAGTTCCACGGCCAGAGCACTTGCAATTGCAGACACACCTGGTCTGGTTACTGTACACTGTTGATCTAAGGTTCGCTTGGCAAGAGACTATAACGGTTAATGAGTCACAGCAGATTTTTACTAGGCACTTACATTTCCAGGAGCAGTAACATCATTGCAAAAATAACATCCCAGTTTATTACCAGGAATTGCCTTGAAACCCTCTGTTGAACAGCTAAGAGCTTCATCAGCTGTATCCGCACACCTAATACCATACCTCATCACCAGATAAGTATCAAATCCCAAAGCTGCATTTATAACAATCTAAAAAACTATCAACATATCAACTCTGGAAACAAATTTCCGATATCACCTTTTTGTTAATCGTTCCTAGAAGTGTAGGCAACCACCGACTCTCACGAGAATCCATTAATAAAAAGATAATGTCATGCGTGGAAATCAATTCGGTCAGCGTTTCCACGTTAGATTTCGTTTGATCCAAAAGGATTTCGCCGACCGGGTGGCCGGGCATTGGAATCGTAAGATTGTATCCTTTAGAATGCTGATTAGAGATTAATTTAATTGCCCACACTTGTCATCCGAACTTACCACTCCAGGAAAAACCTTCCGTAAATTCTGTGCGGCCGCGTCAGCTTTCGTCTTACTTTCCAGGCAATCTTCATAGGTGAATAGGTTCTGTCGAACTGGATTGGAGAAGGAGACTAGTGCGTTATCGACAAATGTTATCGTACGTACGCTCCACGCCTACAAAACGTCTTGTTTACTTCATTTCGCGGTGTTTTGATTGATCTTTGGTCTCGGTTCTTATATCAAGAGCCGTTTGTTAAAAGCTTGGATATACAAATTTTGTAACTTAAAAGTTGACCTACCTACATTTACTTTTCCTATTTCAGTAAGTAAGTAAGTAAGTTTCAGTAAGAATCCCGCTCCCCCACCAGATTTTTACTTAAATGCCTCACCAAATACAGAATACTTAGCTACCCCGTTTTCTTAACGCAAATCTTGTGGAAAGCGTGCCCTCTAACCAATACAAATCTCGTATTTTCGCTTAAATAAAGAAGCTGCAATTTTTGGATGTAAACAATCGAATACGCTGTGTCGGTTTGAAACCCATGTAACCGAAATTTATAAAAGAGAAAGCCGTTGTTTAGAAGGGATTTTTTTGTCTTTGGTGTTGTAACCGAAGCGTAAGATAACTCGTTGGCAATTGTTCGCTGTACTAGCACGTTTTGTACTTTTATCCGTCACCGTATACCGATAAATTTAAAGGTAATCATTTGCTAACTTTCTTCCGCTAATTATACTTTCCTTTACCCGCATTTCCGTGTGCCGTAATTCTGTTTTAGTTGCTTCCCTGGACGTAATCGCCCGCCGAATTATTGTTCCTTGAGTGTCCTCTTCCGACACTTTGTTCTCTAGATACACCGTGAGTTTTTCTTGTGAACATGCAATGCAATTTACAGTAGATTGTTTTTATAGCTTTTTCCTATATTGCGCATAAAGGGTGGTTCAAATTCGTGGCTCACCATTGGAATCTCCGCAATGGTGCTAGATACAGTGTAGGTTATAAATTATAATGCGGGCAAAGTTGCCCCTTTTTGTGACTAAAAAAACGCATTTTAAATTTTTGAAGAATCTTTGAAAATAACTGCGATATCACCGAAAATTTGAAAATGTCAAATTTCGTTTTCATTTTCCCTAGCTTAAACGATCTTGTTCCCGTTGGCACTTTCGATCTACAGGCACTTTTTTCGTAATGGACGTTACAATTAAACGCGGTTTGATGTAGAAATTCTTCTTCTAAATTGTAATCCTCTTCATTTTCTCTTTGTTGTAGTACTTTTGGAACTTACCTCGTTGTACTTCTACTTCCGGATAGCTCGGGTAAAAATAGTTTAATACGAAAAAATTTAGTTTTTTTCGCTTCCACTGATATTTCAGTAATTGTTTTATATTTTCGACAATGACTGAGGTAGTCTTCTTAAGTAAATTTATTACAGCGTTGCTATTTATCGGCGAAGAATATTGGCACCAAACTTCTTGACTTTCACTCACTTTATAATTCACTTAGCCCTTAACTATAAGACCACCCTTTTTTTGTAACAAATTTACATCGCTAATTGTTGTGTAAAAATCACAAATTTTACACGCTTTAGCTTTACGTGAAAGAATGCTAATTCACTTCCTTACATTACCTACTTGCCGAGTAACATTGTCGCGCACACACACACTTGTAATTAACAAAATCCTTCTTCATATAATAATAGCATGATAAGAAACATCGTTTAAAAATACAGGGTTCTTTGACCTCTATCTTTATAGTTAATAAACAACACATTTTCAGTATAATGTTAAACCAGGAGTAAACAACAATCAGGAAATACTGAAGCCACTACACGATATGGGAGTACTGTGGATTAAAATATGCAATGTTTGCCTTTGAGTACTAAAAAATGTTTAGATAAAATTTCAAAAAAATGTCTGTAGTATCTCTATCAATAAGAAATGCGTAGTTTGCGCATGCGCACATTAATGGCCCCTGAGCACAACCGGCAAGCATAAACTATACCTACCTACCTAGGAAAGGTCCAAAATGTGACCAAGACTGTTTTTTATACCTGTGTGTTTATTAATAATAGATAATTACCAGTAAATTTCGAGCAACAGAGCATCCCAATGTACCAGAGCCAAGTAATAAACATTTGGAGCACTTGATTTTTTCTAAATTGATGTTTGGTAAAAGTTGCCATTTAATTAATTTGAGATTTAAGTCAACCGCCGTTTCCGCCAGACTAAAAAAACCTCATTATCTGTATATGAGCAAACTAACTACATTACCATTGCGGATCAATCGAATTTCTCATATTTGAAAGTCGAGGTCCAAATTTCCCTCGTTCGTTTTTCTCCCAACCGATCCAAGCAGTATCGCTCTCCATTAACTCATCGAGATTCACTAAGGGGAATACTGTGGTAAAAACCAAACTGTGAGAGCAGTCAGTAGTCACACCGCTTCTGCTTAAACGGAATGCAAAAAGGTTCACAGTGCTGCCTTGTAAAAACGGGCTAAAATTATTCATTGCATTTCCTTTGATTAATTCAACTTTGCTTACCAATAGTGCAATATTAATAAGATATAATTACGTATCGGCCAACCGGGATGTTGACCTGACCCGGACGGATCGGAAAATCCGTAATAAAAGTCGGATGCATTTGCGGAGTTAACATCTTTAATACGGCTTAGTGGTAAAATCTGTAGGCCATCACAATGTCGCTTCAATAAGAAAAATGGCTTTTCCTTAATGTCTAATTCATTATAGCTAGTGACTAGATCGTTTATCTATAAAAACTATGAAATTAAACCATTCAACATTAATGTAAGCATACCGAATTACTAAATAAGTCTTCTATTGGAGTTATCTTAAGTAATTTCACTTCCAATGTCGTAGGAGCAAGATAGCAAAACCAGTAGTAATAGTGGTATTTTTTCAAATCCTACAAGAGAAGTATTATGGAACATAGACAAAACGAAATCAATAACAAACTGCAAATGAGAGCACTAAAAATGAGTTTAAACGAAATGGATCAGTGAGTAGTTTGTCACTTTTAATATCACCCCACAACTTCTTTCCTTCCGTCTGAACGAGTGAATTCTTATCGCATTCTTTAAACTGTTCAATCGTATTTTTGTTTAGGAGCATGCCAAGGACAGGTATGTAGACTTTCTGGTTTGAATAGTGCCTGTAGACGACTACTGTTAGAAATTGGCAAGGAATAATTGCAGGAACGCTTACCCATTGAACGATGTACTATCCACTTCGAATAGAGATGTTTTGCACTTATTTAAGTTAAGGTTAGAATAATAGCCCCAAATGGGTCTATTGTGTTCATTCAATTTGTCAACATCCAGCTTAATTTCTGTTAACTTATGCCAAAAACTTGGATTTATTGTGGAGCTAAAGGGGTAGTATTCTAATTTGGTTCCTGTATCCATCTAATTGAATAACTAATTTCACTTGGATCAACTAAACTAAACGCTTGTAGCTCTCATCTTACGTAATATAATTTTAAAAAACCATTAATTGGTAAACAATAACATGATTTGTGTAAACTTCTTTCAAACGTAAAATATAAATTTGATGAGACGCCACTGCTTCGTACGGTTGTATACAGGATGTTTCAAAATACGTTCAGTATAAGGTGCTTCCATATATTTGAATTAAAATTATAATAGGCGCTTTCTTTCGGCTACTTCGCGATCACGATTTCAAGATCGTGGGTCGTAGGATCACGTTTTACGAAAGAACGCGGGAATTTAAATCAAAGTATGGTTAAGTTTACGTAATAGTGTGTTATATTATGGTAATAGGTACACATTTGCATTCGAATTACGTACCTTTTGTTTGGATTATGAAAATAATTTAAATACAAGTGGAAGTACTTGCACTTGTGTAAACTTCTTTCAAACGTAAAATATAAATTTGATGAGACGCCACTGCTTCGTACGGTTGTATACAGGATGTTTCAAAATACGTTCAGTATAAGGTGCTTCCATATATTTGAATTAAAATTATAATAGGCGCTTTCTTTCGGCTACTTCGCGATCACGATTTCAAGATCGTGGGTCGTAGGATCACGTTTTACGAAAGAACGCGGGAATTTAAATCAAAGTATGGTTAAGTTTACGTAATAGTGTGTTATATTATGGTAATAGGTACACATTTGCATTCGAATTACGTACCTTTTGTTTGGATTATGAAAATAATTTAAATACAAGTGGAAGTACTTGCACGATTATGCTCCTCGTCAGTTACAAATATTGACTAACCTAACATTTGAGCAAAATTATAGGTTATGAATTCGTGATCAGTAAACAAATCATAAAACTATTATGTTCAGTTTGTTTACGATTTTAGCAATCATGTTCATAAGATCACACTTCGAAAGAACGTGATTTGACAAACCAAACGCGTTTGGATCACCGAAAGAAAGCGCCTCATGACTTATGAGTAGTCGAAGTATTGTCCAATATTTTTGAGGTACTGTCAGTGTCACGAATGCTAGTTAAGCTGAATTTATGGTTCCGTACCCGCAACGCCGTACCGTAACGTTTGGAATTAAAGCCGGATTTTATAGTTCCGTATCCGTAAGAACGTAAGAACGGAACCGTAAAATCGTACGTTAACGAAAATTATACGATTTATAGTTACCGTAGTGGTAAGAGATGAGCATGCGCATTAGTGCGAAACGAATTCTGTCATTGTATGTCATCTGTCAGTAAGAGTAACGTGCATTTCAAAATAATAATAACCAACAAAGTGTCAATAATTATTGTAAATAAACGAAACGAACGTCAGAATAAACTCAACTGTTTGAATTATCCGAGTACTACCGAACACAAGCGCGTTAGCACGATTTACCGTAAGAAATAAGATTTGGGCATTTCCTACGTACCGTAACCGTTCTAACGCAACGTTAACGCGAATTATAAATGTTCACGCGCAACAAGCAGGGTTTAATTCCAAACGTTACGGTACGGTGTTGCGGGTACGGAACTATAAATTCAGCTTAAACCCTACTTGTTGGGTGTAACTAATTTTTGTTCTGAAAAGAACAGATTTTGAATGCACAGCGAAAGACGTAGGAAATAATCAAAATGAAATCACACGAAAAGTAAACCAAACGCGAACTGTCAGAATTCAAAATTTAAAAGCGACAACGTCGGGAAATGCTACCAACTGTTGCGGCTAAAATAAACTACATGCTTAATGTGTGGTCTAACAAACGAAAGTAAGTTTACGTTGGTACGTCGTTTTGTTCAGGTAATGACGTGCAACGGAAGATATACTGAATAGACCGTACAATGGCAGCTCTCGTTTCGCACTAATGCGCAAGCTCATCTCTTACCACTACGGTAACTATAAATCGTATAATTTTCGTTAACGTAAGATTTTACGGTTCCGTTCTTACGTTCTTACGGCTACGGAACTATAAATCCGGCTTTACGCTGATGAATACCAGTTCGTTGTTTGATTCTAAAATCAACTGCGTATGTGATAAATCACTCATTTTGATTAGAATCGTAAAATTAGCCTTTCAAATGAAAGTGGCAACAGTGCATTGCATAATATTTGGTTATGTATATTCTCCCTACTCAACCCCTCTCTGTTTATTCTTTTCTTTCTGAAGTCGCGTTAAATGTGGATTGTAGGTTACTGTTCTGTGATTGTAGGCGCTCACTGATCATGGCAGCAGGTCCTACTAACCTTGCAAATTCTGATAATTTAAATACAAAAAATGGTAACTTTATTTGCGGGGTTATAGAGGGTAAGTAATGAAGAATAAAGTATAAGTGATAAATAGCTATAGGCTTTACCAAAGTTCCCCATAATATTAAAATGCGAAAAAAGGTCACTGGTTATTTACATATTTATTGCTGTAGGTTTCTATGGCAGACCATGGACAACGGAGCAAAGGAAAGATTTATTTCAAAAGTAAATATCCTCCCAAATTAATTAAATATTATGGTGCACATTTGCTTGTAGATTGAAGAAATGGGGCTTAGATTCGTACGTATATGCCCCAAAAGATGATTACAAGCACAGAGCGTACTGGCGGGAGTTGTACACAGTGGAAGAAGCCGAGCATCTAACCGGCTTGATTTCTGCGGCCAAAGAACACAATGTTACATTTTATTACGCGTTATCGCCCGGTTTAGATGTAACCTATAGTAGTACAAAAGAAATAACAGCCTTAAAAAGAAAATTAGAACAAGTAGCACAATTTGGTTGTACGGCATTTGCGTTATTATTCGATGATATTGAACCGGAAATGTCCGAGGCCGATAAGGAGATATTCCAATCGTTTGCTCATGCACAAGTTTCTGTTACAAATGAAATTTATCAACATTTAGGTCAACCCAAGTTTCTATTGTGTCCTACGCAGTATTGTGAATCGCGAGCGATGCCAAATGTTACCAACTCCGAGTATTTAAATACGCTAGGTTCAAAACTTGCACAAGAAATCGACGTAATGTGGACTGGTAGGTAGCTTGCCTTGTGATATTGAGGTCGGAGGTGGTGGAGTACTGCTCTTTGTATTTCAACAGATTTCGTTAATTATGTTTTGTAGGTCCCAAAGTAGTTTCGAGGATATTAACAGCCGATTCAATACAGAAGATTACAGATGTCCTACGGAGACCTCCAGTTATTTGGGATAATATTCATGCGAATGATTATGACCAAAAAAGAGTATTTTTAGGACCGTACTCGGGGAGATCGCCTGATTTGATTCCTAAGCTACGAGGTGTATTGACTAATCCTAACTGTGAATATGGTGCCAATTTTATTGCCATACACACACTTTCGCAATGGTCACGGTGCAATGTAAATGGACAGAGAGATTTAACTCTGAGTAAGTGTCTGATGTATACACTATACAGGGCGGATTTTTCAAGTGTGCATTAAACTTACCTGATAGACGAATTTGTTTCCGTGTAAACTGTCACATAGTGTTAACCAGTAACATGAAAAACCAGAGGTTAGGGTCAGGTATAAATGACAATTTTGATGTAGGTACTTTAATTCAAACTAAGGTGTGTACTCGGGTGTGTATGACTCATCACATGTGTCAGTGGCGGAACAACGTAGCCACGGGCCTGTGTACGAAATTTTTTGCCGCGCCCCATTATGATACGAAGTATTGATAACAATATTAATTTAGGTATGAATTTTGGCTACAAAAAAAAACTAATTGATAAATATTCCTGAACCTGAACATAGAAAAATACGAGGAAAAATATGTGCGTAAGTACAAATCAACCACAATGTGTTATAAATTTCATATAGGTACGTATAAGCGTTGATTAAAAAAATTTCATTGAACCGTAGAAGTAACAAAACTGAAACAAAATCAAAAATATATTGTGTTATCTCATGACTTATGACAATTTATAGCTATTTTTTTTGTACCCTTGAAGTTATACTGCGTATTTTAGTATGTACAAAAAAATTAAATTTAGTACATTTTCATCGACATTTCATTTTCACTACAATTAAAAAAATTACTCAATCGCTGGCTGCAGTCTGCAGTTGGTCTCACGCCGTGCTAGAGGTATGCTGCAATAGGTTCCATTTACCGTGTTTCCGTCTTTCCGTGAACAGTGTATCATTTCCGAGTATGACAATCCCGGGTCCCGGGCCCCTTTTTAGCCCGGGCCCGTGTACTTCGCACACATTGAACACCGGTAGTTCCGCCACTGACATGTGTATATGTCACTTGTTGGGGATCAGGGCGCGTTTGCCACCCTATATACCGAGTTTAGGAGATCGTGAACATTTTGAGTTCCCTGTCGTTTTATTAAAAAAATGAATTCAAATTTATAATTCTATTCTGGTTTTGAGTGAATTTAGATTTACCCCTGACAGGTCGGCCAAAAATGTTTTTATAATTTATCAAAGTAGCCTATGTAGAATTTCAGCACTTATTGATTTGGGCCTCCTGCGATTTAAATACAAGTGTCTCCTTATTCTTGAATGACGCTAGTAGTGTCCGACAAGCAGTTCAAAACATTTGCGACTCAACTTCCGGCTTCCCATCACGCGTGCTGTAATGAATTTCCTCGAGGATTTCAGAAAAAGGCTTATATTTTTAATACTTATTCATCCATTACAAACATACACATTATCGAGAGAAAATGATTAAAATAGTTAGGTGTAATAAAAGTAAATAAGTACAATTCAAATCCATATCGTGAAGCCAGTTCCAAATGAGTACTCGCCATTCGGTGTAACTGATTTTTTACTATGTCTGCGACGAACTTTGGTAGGCGTGAAAATTAAACAATATTGGTAGTTTGCGGCAGTCGGCGGCAACGTGGATGTGATGTCGGGGGAACGGACGGACGACTCGAGCGCCACCAGAAGACAAGCCAGAAGATTAAAGCCTTATTTCTTGCCAAGGTCGGCTGTTTCGAAACAGAGGTGTGGCACAATCGGTAGCCGGTCAGTCAGCCCCAAAGGGGTCAATGGCCCTTTGTATACAGATAAGAACGTCTAAAAATTAAAACTTCTGTAATTAATTGCCTCCTGACGTCCGAAAAATTTGCAATTGGTCTTAAAATTCAAATTAAATAAGAGCGCTTCTTTTGACACCACTCAGACTTAACGGATGCTGTTTAATAAACCTCATTTAATTAGAACCGGTTAATTATCCTCACTTACATGGGCAAAATCAAATTTGTAAATTTTAATTGACCCCCATTGTCTGTAGAGAATTTCTCAGGTCTGGCAAAAGGTCTCTTATCAAACTAATTCCGTGTATGGCTGTGCAGTTTTAATGTTCATTTTCCTATAGAGATCGTTCGTAAACTAAAATATGACGCTGTTTTACAATTTATTCGAGTACAAAAATCGGATTGTCATTTGTGATCATGATCATAATACAAACACTGCAACGATATTATGTAGGGTGGTGACTTGCGTAACGCATCATAGGGATTTCAATGTAAAATTTATAACATGCGATTATTGGCTTCACAAATTATTTTAGAGCAAAAATGTATAAAAGTTTTTTTGTAGAAAAAATTTTTTTACGCCAATCAACCGTATTAGTTTTCAATTTTTTTTCATATAAAGATGGAAAATTGGAAAAATACCCGCATCTTTTTCAATAATCTGCGATAACATGGAATTTTCTAAAACAAAAAGATATCCAGTTATCAATTAGCAGCAGTTCAAAATGGATTTTATGATTGACTTGGTTACTGTCTTGCAGTTAATGGTGACTTATTCGAACATTTATTGTAAATTTTTGTATTAGGAAACCGTTTTTAGTAATTTGATCTTTCTTTATGTTGAATTTGCTGTTCTAAATATAATACTTTTTGATAGATATTTGATATTGATTTGATATTTGTTTTATAGCAGACATTCCATGGCATGACGGATATTGGCATAGTTTTTGTATTATAAAATTCCATGGCATCGCAGATTATTGAAATGATGCGGGTTTTATTTTTCCAATTTTCCGTCTTTATTATGCAAAAAATTTAAAACTAATATGGTTGATTGACGTAAAAAATTTTTTTCTACAAAAAACCTTAATACATTTTTGCTCTAAAATAATTTGGGGAGCCAATAATCGCATGTTATGAATTCTACATTGAAATCCCTATGATGCGTTACGCAAGTCACCACCCTGTATAGGGAAAATAATAATCCATGTAAAAAAATACCTGCCCAATAGCAATTTAAAATCTGTAGAGTGTGATTATGCAACGAATGATAATTCTAATTATAAAACTTAAACTAAAACTTAAAGGACATCTTAACGTCTAACATTTGTCAAGACACAGATTTAAAATGTGACCCGTGCGATTTTGTCACCAAGTACAAATCGAATTTTAAAACGTATTTGTTGCTACGCAAAACCAGTAAGAATTTCAAATGAGCTTGGTGTGAACTACAACACCGTAAACTCCATTTGTTCTATAAGGAAGTAACACGCCACACGTTAGAATTTATTTCGCGAAATCCCAAATATACCCGACGGGCATTTCATCATCTTTTAGTCTTAGAACTATCTTTACCATTGGAAACTGTATTCTGCTAACAATTACTTAATGCAGCTGAAACTCTAAAATACCCCCTTGTCTTCTACATGACAAAAGCTCTTGAATGCTACAAAAATTATTAAATTATTCCCATGGGAACAGCTACAAAGGAAACAATTCAATATAGCCTCTTGTTTTCCTTATCGGACGGCTCTATAAATTGAACCGCTACTGTCTACCTTCTACCTATTTCTAAGTCCTAAAACAGAAATAAATATTTATAACGACAGTCTTCTTGAATTGTATCCAGATACCGGGTGTTCAGTAAAGCTGGTAGATTCCATAAATATACGGTGTGTTCATTCCGATATGAACACTGAGTGCTTTGTTACATGTTGTTGTTAAATTAAATACTTTTTTTAATAAGCTAAAAGGCATATACATATACCAACACCGCTTCTGAAATCGAACCTAGGAACGTAAAACTTTCAAAAACACAGAAAAATGTACAGATTGCATTCTGACAATTGATATTCGCGTCACATCTCTCTAGTTCTCCATTACAGCGACAAAAGCGCACTAGGCACACTTTAAATCCTTGGCGATCTTGTCTGTTAATAAATGTGTTTTATAAATTGCATAGTCACACTGAACACAATTTAAATTTTTGGTTGTCTTGTGTGTTAAAATGCTATTGAGCATGTGTCTTTGACATGGAATTACGTTTCCAATTATCATATTACCTGATGTCGCTGCAGTGCGTTTGTATTATGATCACAAAGCACATTCCGCCTTTTTGGACTCGAATAAATTGTAAGCTTTTAGTACTGGAATGGTCTCTACAACTTATCCCGTAGGTATACGGTACCCACCAAGGACATTAAGAACTCTGACCGTTGTTACCATCATTTAAGCTGAATTTATAGTTCCGTACCCGCAACATTGTACCGTAACGTTTGGAATTAAACCATACTTCTTGCGCGTGAACATTTATAGTTGGCGTTAACGTTGCGTTAGAACGGTTACGGTACGTAGGAAATGCCCAAATCTTATTTCTTACGGTCAATCGTGCTAACGCGCTTGTCTTCGGTAGTACTCGGATAATTCAAACAGTTGAGTTTATCCTGACGTTCGTTTCGTTTATAATTGACACTTTGTTGGTTATTATTATTTTGAAATGCACGTTACTCTTACTGACAGATGATATACAATGACAGAATTCGTTATGCGCTAATGTGCAAGCTGCCGCTTGCCACTACGGAACTATAAATCGTATTATTTTCGTTAACGTAAGATTTTACGGTTCCGTTCTTACGTTATTACGGCTACGGAACTATAAATCCGGCTTTAGTTGCCAACGACCTTCTTTTTTCGGGAGCCTGTGTGCATGTGAGTGCGATGTGTCACGTTCTCCTTTACTGTACTGTCTCAATATTAATCAATCATGATAAAAACTGCATTATATATGCATGTACAGGGTCGAAATTCACTGTTGGGATCTCCATAACCGTGAGAGGTTCAGTGTAGGTTAAATGGGAGCAAAGTTGCCCTTTTTGTGACTAAAAACACGAATTAGAAATATCTTTGAAAATAACAGGTATCACCGAAAAACTGAAAATGTCAAATTCTGTTTTCAATTTCCATACCTGAACTCAAACGTCATAAATGGATGCTTCCCGTTAGCGTTTTCGAAGAATCTAGATCTGTTAAATTGAAAACGAAATTTAATACTTTTAGTTTTTGGTGATATCTCTTATTTTAAAAGATTTTTGAAATGCGTTTTTTTAGTCATAAAAAGTGGCAACTTTACCTCGATTTACTCTGCACTGTATCTTTCACCGTTACGGAGATCCTAATGCCGCGAATTTGAACCACCCTGTACATACACAAAATTTGAACAAAATCCGCGCCGTTTACTTACCGTGCATACAGATAGGAAGAAATTTTATTCTTTAAAAGTTGCTTAAAAGGATCTACAAACGTTGAAATTTGGATATGTCCTAAAAATGGTCCCATTCGTTTTCTCGCTAAAGTGTTTCAATTTTAGATGACACCGTATCAGCAGATATTAAACTTGAGACTGAAACTGAAGACGGTTTATCCGGTGAAGACGTCCCTGCGACCTTATCCCCAAACATGTACCATCCAAGACTGGCACTTCGAAACGCTATTAAAGAATGGCTACCGGAATTTTCAAGGCAAAAAGCTGCATGGGGCCCAATCGCAAAACCTCAACCGGCCATAACAGGTAACAAAGAAACAGGTAATATTAATTTATAAAGTTATTAAGTTAATTAACTTAATTAAATTGTATGGGAACTGTTTCGAGTCTGTTTGTTATAACTTTATAAACTAACTTCCCATTTCGAGTTCAGAATGGACTTCATGATACCAAAAGGTAATATTAATAGCTGATCATCAAATCTTTTACAGTTGTACCTGTCCCTATAATACCCTCGATCAATACATGTATGAGTCTTACCACTACGACCACGACAACGTCGAGTGGTATTGCTGCCACTCCTATAGTTAATACTACACAGTTGCAAGCCTTAGCAGAAGTGTGTAGTACCGTAACCGTAAGTACCAACGGTTAGATCAACTCACGCTAACCTACTGCACATTTAGGTGTCTGGTAGTGATAGTCTTGTAAACCCCATTCCGGCTCCCGTAATGAATTCTTTAGTATCTGAAACGAAAGTAGTGTGTAACGAGTCCATTCCGAATCCTATAACACCAGTGCCGATACCGATTCTTCCATCAGATTCTTCTAAGAGTATAACAATTTTAAACGGCGCCCACGTCAAGATAGATAAAGAGAAATTGTTGGGGAAACATAAAAAATGTGACCAAAATGGTGATAGTAAGGACGAGGAGGAAGGAAGTAAGATAGATACCCTGCCGAAAGATGAAGTGTCCATGAATACGGATAGTAGTACTGAATGTAACGATTCTAGTCTAAGTCCCTCGGAACCGATGGACTGCAATAGTACACCAAATGCTTCACCTTCACATCTCAATAAATGCTGTAGTTCAAATGAAGATGTCGCTATGATAGAAACTTCTGTAAGAGGTCTACAGTTTGTGCCAATTTTGTTATGTGTGTTTTTGTAGACGTCAAGCGGAAGTATGCAGATTGAAGCCAGTGACGCTCTAAATAATCAAATCAATGCAGAAAATGAAAACACTAGGTATTTTGGAGGTGTTACTAGTATGATAATTACAGTAATTCTTTTTAGAAAGGAATGCGAGTTAACAGTGGAAGATTTGTCGCTTTTGTGCGACCTGTTTTATTTGCCTTTTGAACATGGAGGACAAGGTCTGCAATTACTACAGGAATTTAATTGGCTCAAATCAAATGCCCCGTTAGTTATGACTTCTGGCGCAATCAAAAATAAATCTCAACCTGAAGTAAGTGTGGATATCTGGATAGTGTTCATAATGTGTGTTGTATTTACTCTTTGTAAGTGTGATTTGTACTGTAAATTTTTGAATTTAGACGATTTTAACCACAAAATGCGTTGACCTTTGCATAAATTCTTATACTGAATAGAAACAATATGAGACCCGGTACATGGTGGCTGTTTGCTCTAACTTTAACTGTTTTATAACGGAAGAACAATTTACTGATTAATATTTAGACAATTTTTTACAAGAAGGTGCTTTCACTAAGGAGACTTCTACTCGAATATTGAAAATAGTTTTTCCTTTTTAGAAGACTTATCTTCGTAGGTTCATGGGAAAATTTAAAAAAATTCAAAAGTTGGCCCTAGTTAGTGCTGACAGAAGTGTGAGTACTTCTTTCGCTCTCATTTTTTCCGCGATGTATTACAAATTATGTTCTTTTCGCCATGAAAGGGCAACCCTCAGCCACGGACACTAACAACTGTTAAAGTAATTTTGGGGTGGAATATTGAAAATAGTTGGATCTCACGAACAAAACTTTTGGGTGTGACCTTGCAAACGGATGTGTAGTGGACGGAACATATGGGACGGTTTGATATTTTGGGGTCAGAGTGCTTGCATTTTCTTGTATCTTTTCGAATATCATTTTTGGTACAAAAAAAATGTCTAGTGTCATACAACAAACAGTTTCTTGTACAGGGTGTCCCATTAATAATGGTCACAGGCTATATTTATGGAACTGTTAATTGCACAGCTTCCGGAAAACAATTTTGTTAACAAAAAGGGCCAAAAGAAATCTCTGGAAATTATTTCCAAGTTTCTAGCTTCGCCGCTAGAGGGCGCACGATTCATGGTTAAGTTAAAGTCACTAAATATAGAAAGTACCGCAATCCATTGGGCTCGTGTGTTAGAGAGAGAACGCATGATTTTTGCCCAAAAATGGCGGAAGTTACCAGATTCTAGTAACTTTAATGTTAGGGATTGTTCCACCTGTTTGGAGATATCTGTGTATATTTTTATAAAACATGACAGTACTATGAAGTTAGGTTATAAAAAATGACAGCTATTCAGATTTCATTTGTCAATTTTTTTAAGTTGGCAGCAAATTTGCCCAAAAATGGCGGATGATTGCGGTACTTTCTATATCTAGTGACTTTAGGTTAAGTAGAAAAATGACATTTTTTCTAAAATATACCCAACAAACATGCATAAAAAATACATGCACAGCAATCTTGTATCAATTTTGCATCATTTTGATGCAGCACATATTGCTCTAGCTCTTAAAATAGGAGGGGTGTGGGAAGGGGAACATCTCTTTAAGGAATTAAATGTAACTTCGGATTAGGTTAACAGATTTTTACATAATAGGTCTTGTTGGAATCAGATTTTACATGAATAGAGTCTTTTTAGTAAATGTGCTGTGTGGTAGAGGGCGCGATGTGACGATAATGAAAACTTTGCATTTTTTTTTAAATTTCAAATGGAACGATATAAATTATTATATGATATTATCAAATAAGAGGAAAAAGTGAGAATATCAGTGAAAACCGCATTTTGATATCAGAGATATGGCGAAAATACGAACATTCACAAATTTTAATTCCAAAATTGATGCTCATTCAAGTTGGCTTTGAAACAAAAGAACAAAAGAAAGTTTATCAGTCTGTAGCATCCTTTCATTAAACGTATTCGTGCGAATTATCACCACGACATTTCTTGGTAAGCCAGAGTATTTGAATTTGAGTTATGCTGGCAAATGGATAGAAAGAGGAAGTATTTTTTCATGGCCAGCTAGGTCACTCGACCTAACTTGCTTAGACTTTTATTTGTTGGAAAGGACAAAAGACGTAGTCTTTCAAACAAGGCCAACTACAAGAAACGATATGGTGGCGAGAATTAGAAATGTAATTCATAGCCATGGCTGAAATTGAAGCAAATGTTCTCTCTACGCAACAGAGACTCGTCTTTGTATCGAAAATAATGGCAGACATTGAACATTTACGTTAATTGAAATTATTATTTCTTTTATTATTTACTATTCATATTTTTCCGATTTAAAGTTTGAATAATTTTTTTGTTGCTCATAGTTTAAAAACTTAGATTGAGTGTTAATTTTGAACTGCCATCGCCTCATTCACTTTGACATAATTATCGGTTGCTATGTGTTCATTTGTTTCAAATCCAACTTGGATGAATGTAAATATTGCAATTAAAATTTGTGAAAGTTCGTATTTTCGCCATATTTCGGCTTAGAAAACAAATATCAAAATGCGGTTTCCACTGATATTCTCACTTTTTCATCTTATTTGATAATATCATATAATATTATATCGATTCATTTTCCAAAAAAACTGCAAAGTTTATGTTAAATGTCACATCGCGCCCCCTACCACTCATCACATTTACTAAAAAGATTCTATTCATATAAAATCTGATTCCACAAAGAGAGCTCTTTCCAACAAGACCTATTACGTGAAAATCTGTTAGCCTAAACCGAAGTTACCTTCAATTTTTTAAAGAGATGATCCCCTTCCCCCACGCCTCATATTTTATGAGCTAGAGCAATTTGTGCTGCTTTGTTTATGGTTAACTGAAATTTGTAATTTTGGTTTGTGCTTTCTATCTTAAAAGTGTGTCATCATCCTTTTTTGCTTCATTTTCTTTACTTTATTTTTCTTATTCTCTTTTTATCAATATTCTATTTTTAATTTAGAACTTAAATTCAAAGGTATTTATTTATTTCACTAGTTACAATTACCTACTGCAATATTTATACTGATTTTATGTTTTCTATTTTAAATGTTAGTTCCTACTATAGTATTAATAATGCAGTATGCGCTTAACGATTTATTTATCTTTTTTTGCGATTGTTCATATATGGATTATGAGTCTGTTGAACAACAATAAACAATATTATTATGGTCGGTGTTTCTCGTGAGAACTCAGGTCTAGCCTGGATAACTAATCGCACGGATTAAAATCAAGTAACGATTTGTGTCTGTGTCTGGTGAATTTATTCAGGGTTATTATTATCAAAATGATACAAAATTGCTATGCATGTATTTTTGATGCATGTTTGTTGGGTATATTTTAGGAAAAAGGTGTTTGTGATAATAAAAATTTCACAACCAAAGTGGGACACATGGTAGTTGTTAGCAATTTACAGTAGGGCTTTTAGTAATAATCTTGAAATCACTAATATCAAACAATATTACCTTTTGGTTGCCTAATTGCAGGTGCAAGAATGGTTCACGCGAGCGGATAAAATGAACGAAATGGCGCAAGCCGTCAACCGCCTGTTCCAACATTTAAGTGGATGCAATAACAGAGAGCTGCTATACGATTTATACGCCTACGTGTGGGATATTCGTGGCGTAATATCACTGTTGAACTCGTACATCAAATGGCTGGGTAAGCGGCAAAAGCCCACCTGCGCGATCACGCCTTACTTTTGAAAGCACACAATACGCACATGAAATAAAATTCCCACTTGTAGCGTTGGCGTAATTATCTGTCTCATTTTCAAAGGCAAGGGTAATATAGGTCTCGTGTGAATGTCCTTTTCTTTTCCCTTACAGACGTTTAGAACTTCGTTGCTGTGCGGCTAATCTATCTCTTACAGGTCTGTCCAGGATTTGCGATGCGCTAATTTATACTTATATGCATTAGAGCGTCCTAAGTACCAAGTGGGTAATTTTATTTTATGTGAAAACTTGACAAAATAATTTTTCATAATTTTTAAATTGAGAACATTAATCTTTGAATTGTGTGTATGTGAACATTTAACAAGAATTCATATATTTAAGCCTTTTGGTAATGTTTTTGTTGTTTGAATTTATTTAGAGTATTGTTTTGGGCACCTGATCTTTATAATGGAAAAACAAATTTAATTTAGGGCATAGAAATAATGCAATCTTCACTTCTTGGGCATCTAGCTAATGTGTTTTGCGGTTTTGTCAATGGAATCGCCCAATAAATAGCAATTTTGACGTGTTTAACCCAACAAAATTAATTAACGTTTGAATGCTCGTGAAGATAGCCAAGCCAGCATAATATTTGAAGTAACTTTTTCTATAAAGGCACAGAAATTAATTTAAACGGCTTATGCATTCGATTAAATCAAATTAATCACTAACTACACACGCCTAATGATTTCGGCCGAAAAATGTATGGAGCCAGTCAAGGAGTTTTACTGAAGGAGTTTCTGCAGAAGAAATTTGAGATCCATCTGAAAAAGTGGAGATTAACGCATTGTTTCACAGTTTGACAAATTTATTTTGCCAATTGACACACCTAATCAGTCAATTACACATCATAATCTTACTATATCTAACGCCATACTTTCATTTTTACAGTTCAAAATTTGAATGAAGTTCCCAAAGCGCTTTGATATGTCAATTCTTGTTGAATGTGAATCATTCTATGCTTTTGTGTCATCCGATTAATGGTTCTTTATTTTCTAAAGCTGGAGGCCAGTTTCCTGCATCTATGCCATCCTACACCCAGGGGAATTACACATGTACGCACTTTTGTGGAGATAGTATGCCCATTGTGCTTCATTTTGGCGTAAAATTTTCTATTTAATAAATAGAGCGCGTTGCGTAATAGTCGCTTTGTGTTATATTATTTCAACAAAAATAATCTACCACAAGTTTTTTGCTGTTCGTTTACAATTCCTCGATGAAATTACATTTAAGCAAATGTGTAAGATGAATTTGGCGCGCCTAAACGTAATGTGAGCTTAGATTTAATTTTATCGAAATTCATTTCTTAGGAGTGCTGCAATAATACACTTCGTGTGGTAAGTACGCACTTAAGCAGTTGCGTAACAGTAAATTTGATGCGTAACTTAAGCGGGGCGGCAAGCTAGCGCCAGTTTATATTTAAACCGATTTTAATGAGACATTTTACTCTATTTAGGGTTCTCAAAGGGTTGGAAGGAAACATTTATGAGCGGTGAACAGGAGCCTTGGGTATTCCGGGGGGGACTAACAGCAGATCTTCAAGTAATTATATCAATGCAAAAGTTGGTCACCTTCAAGTTTTAATTTTAGCGACTCATACCAGTTGATTCCGGAAATGACTTGTTTATCTACAAAGCGCCAGATGTCCCTACATGTCGAGTGTATACAATTCGTCCGTACACTACGCAAGATGAACGTCGTGTTTATGATGTGTGCACCCGTACTTGTAAAGATGGTTTAGAAGATGCCCACCCTTATCCTGAAGATCTAAAGGATTTAAACGCCGATTGTATAGTTGGTCCATACTTAACTTTACATCCAGAGTTTTGTATGGTAGTTGAAGATGAGACTGGTGTAGTAGGTTACGCATGCGCCGCTCTAGACTATAAGAAGTTTAGGGTAAAAGAAGAGGTCGCATGGATACCAGACATGTGCTTAAAATATCCAATGCAAGACTCTCACTGTGATCTTTCAAAATTAGCACAGGTACGATAGTTGTGATACGTGCTGTGTACTAGAATAAATCATTTCAGGAAAGTCTGTCGTATTTGCATAATTACAAAGATAAATTGTATGTGTCAAGTTCCACGCATCCTTCTAGTATGACATGCAGTTTATTGCCGTCAGTGTTGGATCAGTCAGTGAGCAAACGATTGGTCACATGCCTATTGGCAGCATTACGAGCGAATGGTGAGCAATTATTGGATTTGTCTAGCTTTAATACTTTTCTTTAAGGCTCATTTGGTGTACATGTCGTTATGAACACAATGGATAATTACACACACGCATTCTACGGAAAGTTGGGTTTTGTTGAGAACACGCACGACGCTTTAAAAGGTAAAATTGTGATGGGACGCACTTTTTAGGCATTAGCATTTTGACTGACAATTTAATTTTACTACTCCTAATTTTGTATATAGCTCGTAATTATTTTGTAATATGTACTATAAGATATACTTATTAAATAATGACGGATATGTAATTTAATATCATATACATAGTAGTTATAAGGTCGTTTTGATATTTAAAAGATAAACTAGGCAACTGCATTTTGAATTTACTGTTAATTATCTTTAGTTTTGTAATAAATACAATTTTGATGTAGTGTTATCAAAATGCTGTTGTTAGAGTATAACTTAATTATAAAATAAAATTTTTGTGGAAATTGGCCGACGTTGGGATTGAATTATTTATTGTAAAAACTGAATTGTAATTCTTTGGAATTCTGTAATAATTGAAGTATGATTATATTTTTGGTTTTTCATACAATGTTTTTATTGTTATTTTCTTCCTTTGAAAAGCATCGTGCGGGGGTCTTATCAATATGCTGACACTGTGAAGGCTTACAGATTATGAAACATACACAAAAGCGAGAAATCCCAAAAATATTGATTCTCCTAATAATATTAAATTCACTAATACGCAATACCGGAATATCATTATAAAGGCTTCATAGGGGCCTTGTACTTCAATATTTCCTCACCAGTTTGGGCAACAATCTGCACCCTCGGGATTAAAACACCACTTTAGTCCCTTGGTACGTAATACCTATAAGTACTAACTGTTGTATGACAATCATTTCTTGGCCAATTGTGAAACCAAATTAATTCGTTATTATTGTCTCGCATAGTCGCCATCCATGGACACACATCAGTGGCGTCCTTCCAAACACAGAGTTCCCAAGAGGTCTTTCGGAAGCTTTAGACCAGTTGGCACGGAGTAAGCAGGTGCCTACATTCAAAATTTCATCCAAATATCAACAAATAAAAAAAACCGACTGCGCATGCGCAAAAACAAGCAGTTTTTACCTTTTTTCTATTTTACATGGGTAGTAAGATATGCTAAGATTTAAAAAAGAAACTTTTCGTTTTCACCCTGTATCTCAGAAACAAACGCACCTACATTGGTTCCGTTTTTGATATTAAAAGTTTCACAAAAATGTCACAACCGAAGTGGGGCACATGGTAGTTGTTAGCAATTTGCAGTAGAGCTTTTAGTAATAATGTTGAAATCACTAATAACAAACAATATTACCTTTCGGTTGCCTAATTGCAGGTGCAAGAATGGTTCACGCGAGCGGATAAAATGAACGAAATGGCGCAAGACACAAACAAATATTTTGATCGGTATCAGTTTTCCTTTTATTCGAGGTGCCTACATACAAAATTTCATTTAAATATCTTAACAAATAAAAAAACCGACTGCGCAACCGCAAAACAAATTTTTTTATCGGTATCAGTTTTCCTTTTATTCACAACTAAACGGAGATCGGATTGCGCATGCGCAAAACAATTTTTTTGATGGACATCACTTTTCCTTTTATTCGAGGTGCCTGCATACAAAATTTTATTTAAATATCTTTAAAGACTGCATGCGCAAAACAAATTTTTTGATTCGGCATTAGTTTTACTTTTATTTGGGGTGCCTACATACAAAATTTCCATTAAATATCGTAACATATAAAAAAAATTGGGATTGCGCAAATATAAAAGTTGTAATGCGCACGCGCAAATTTTATTGCATCTGCATAGTTGCCTGAAGTTTAAGAAATATTTACTAACATGGGCGTACGCAGGGAGGGGCAAGGGAGACAGCTGCCACAGGTTACGTTTTATGTTTGTTAAAAGATGTCTGTAAGAATTGTCTTTGTTGGATTTTAATTCAAAACCTTTTCCTTTGAGATTTAAGCAATGAAAGAGGTTTTAAGCTATAAATTAGAGCACCGATCCCGCAAATCGCTGTTCCCAGGTCCATCGGATTACTCGGTACACCGGCATCTGCATAGCTAGGCGCCAGCCCGGTTCACTAATCGCGCGTTAACACAAACCACTGTGCAGTGGTCAGCCAGTGATGTTCCGTCTACCGATTTTTCGGTAGATCTACCGATTTGCCTAAAATTCTTCCGATATACCGAAATGGCCTTTATATCTTCCTATCTATTTTCGCCCCGTGTTTTTCTTTTGCATATTTAATACAAAATTGATTGATATAAAAGCGCCAATAACTAATATTTTGAGATAATTTTGAAGGCGTTTTTAATAACTATTACCTACTAAAAATAAAAATGTATACCTATTATGTGTTTCATTAAACATTTTTTTTCCGCCAATTTTATTTATTGCCCCTCCCTAGACCAAAAGCTGCGTACGCCCATGTTTACTAACACAGAAAACCGGACATTCATATGTTATTTGTAACAAGAGTTATAAGAGATACCCTTTTTGGAGGCTTGGTCAGTTTTTGGGCGGTAACTTTTTGGCCCGTTAGTCTACATAGCCAAAAAACAATAGCGACGTTTCATATATCCCGAAGAACATGTATCAATTTGCAAAGCGATCGGCCGTTTCTACACAAAGTTATCGTGCACACGGACAGACAGACGGGCGAACGGACAGACAGACAGCAATACAAAATTATAAAATTATTGACGATTGTTAATAATAAACCAAAGAGAGTCTCATAGAGTCTCTGCCTCGATTATTCTCTTACACAACGGGGCCAAGATTATTCTTAACATTATTATGATATATCATCCAGCCATGATAGCACGCGAAAATGGAGCCCCTTATTATGGTCGAAATATGAAATAGAGGTGTAAATGTAGGTACTATCAAAGACTAGGTACCCTCTTTGGGTACTATAAGCGATTTCTTCGAATCTACAGATTTAGTAATTTTTACAATTGGCTCAATTTTGGCAAAGATTAATTGGCGATGGGGTTGGGGGGCAGCCTCTCGTACCTCTTGTGCCGTGTCGCTATAATTACGACGGTATCGATTGCCGAAGTTGTTTTACTTTATCGAAGTAGCTCGGGTTGCCTGTAATATGGCGCAAGGAGTCGAGTCCGCAGTGCGGTTTTATGTCCGAATATAATATAATCATGGCATTTTAAAAAATGAACCAATCATATCAAAAAGAACGAAAAGTTTTATTAATTTATTATGTGTTCTTTGTTTACTTACTCATTAATTTGGCATTGGAAATAATCTTCCCTGGCCTTTTCTATTGATGGACGGGCGAATACATCAGCGCAAATTTCAAACTAATTTTGTAATAAAGATCGAGTTTAATCCCAGTCGGTAATATCTGCAATCTGCATTTCAGCGTAAATTTAAATTTAAAATCGCGGCGCGTTTCACCGGACGATTCTGCGCGTAGATTCAAGTAAATACCAACAAGGAATGCAGTATTAGTAGAACCAAACTCCAAGCATGGGAGTAAATAGTAAATATTTTCGTCCAATTAAGCAAAATTACTTTTCTTTAAGTTGATGATGCTCAACTGTAAACCAACCAATCAGCTTTTATTTTGAAAGAAGCCACAATCACACGCTACTTAAGTAAATTCAAAATAAGTTTATTATTTTCACCTGACGGTTGATACGAAGAAAATTTTTCAGTTCTATTTACCCCACCATTAATTATAGGGGGCAAATAAGTATTAGTAACTCGGTCATATAAATGGGACCAAATGTGATAGAAAACAGGACATGACTGCGTGTACTGTACTCTATATTTCAAGTGTTTTCCACCAGAGGAGCAAATGTAAATATTTGAGATGCCATGCATACCACAATCGCAGGTTTGACCGAAATGTCAAATTCTTCGCAGAGTTTTAGATGTTAGTGTGTTAAACGGTGGTTACGAAAACAATCGACGCATTATTTACGTCGTGTGTTTTATAAAATCTGTTACAATATAAGGGTAAGTTTCATTTATTACGAGGGGGTGGTTTATGCGCACGTGATTTGTATTGATTTTTTGGGTGTGCGGTTTTTAATTTAGCAAACCCAATAATGATTTCATTTTTCAATTTTTGCAAATTAACCGAAAAGGACAACGGTTCTAGTGCGCTAAATAAAAAAGATTCCCAGGAGTTGAAAAGAAGACGATTATTTTTCTTTTAATTCACGTCATTATTTTTCAATGCAATAAGTAATTGTTTAAAAAGAATTTCAACTATTCTTTTATTGAGGTCAATGTTTTCCCTAATTTTTTTTAAACAGACACGCTCCGCGTGTATTGTATTCCATATAGAATAAAGGACAGTTGTTTCGGAACGTGATATAGATATTAATTAATTATAATAATTATTTCAGTTAAAGTGGGAATGTAAAACATTGCTGATAAGGTTCGCCAGCAAATAAATCGCTTCCAAATGTATGTTGAAAGTCAACAAGTTGTCAGATATGTTGTGACATTTAATTGTTCGTCTATTCTAAAACGAACTCTTGTTATGTTTGCTAATCATGGGCGGCACAAACAGGATATCCGGTGTATTTTACAAATATCGCCGCCCATTTTATGGATGATTTAAATCTGTTTAACGTAGTACACTTCCTTTATTATTATGTAACGGAGTAACGTGCAATTGTTTTAAAAACACCGTGTGGAGAATCGATCCAGTCGACGTCTTCTCCATTTTGCCAATGTCTGCAATGATCTGCGATTCGTGACTTTTATGAATTGATGTGAATTGATGTAGGTAATGTAGCTGATTGTAGCAAACAGCACTGCTTTTTTTCTAAATAAATAAAATAAATGAGACATACCTATTGTTATAGTTAAAGTAAAGTAGTGATGTCGAGGAGGAGGTCCGAGGTGTCGCAAGTTACCCCAACATACTATTTTCAGCAGATATTTTAAGCTTGTGATGGTAATGGTAATACTTCTTAACGTTCAAGAACCTTTTAGTCTCATGTCATCATTTCAGGAACATATAGGCTTCTTGGATAGAGACCACGATACTTATTTTTGGTCTTCTAGTAACTAGTTGGATCAGAGTTGCGGTAGGAAAATTTTCTATTTGCCTCGTGAGTCGACTCGATTAAAACTAAAACCAATTTTTTAATGACTTCAGACTAAAATGAAATTATTCAAGGTTTTTTCGAGTTTTTTCTATTCTTCGACTGCCTTAATAGTTATTTATGTATTAAGGGCATTAAGGCGATATTTATGCCGAGGGTGACAGAGCCCGAGGGCCTCGCCCGAGGGATTGTAAGTCGCTCGAGGGTTAAATATCGAGTAATCCCTGAGGTGCATACAAAATTTTATTTTTCATGATTCCAAATATTGTATTTTCAATATACAAATGTAATGATTTTTTTTGTTTACCCAACATTAAAGTGCTTCATACAAATCAGGTAGCATCGTTTTTAATACATAATATAACTCCATCAATATATTT